TTCACAAAATCACCGACTATTAAACACTGAAACATATACATGTATGTATATTGTATATTAGTATATTAGGACTGCGCGGTATTATCGGCATACCGGTATATCGCCATAGGCTTTTCAACAGATACGTATTGCAATATTTCTTCTGAGAACCGGTATATTGGGTAAAGAACATATAAGGGTTTTTTTAAGGGTTTTTTGTGATTATCTTTATGGTTTAAATTAAAATCTACACACTTTCATTCACAACAATGTTTTCCTTCGTTATTCATTTACAAAACGGCATACTGTAATACTATAAATTGTATTAAAAAGATAATAGACTCCATTACTATGCGGGGCGGTGGGGTAGCCTAGTGGTTAAAGCGTTGGCTCGTCACGCCGAAGACCCGTGTTCGAATCCCCACATGGGTACAATGTGTGAAGCCCATTTCTGGTGTCCCCCTCTGTGATGTTGCTGGAATATTGCTAAACACGGCGTAAAACCAAACTCACTCAGTCAGTCAGTCAGTCCATGATTATGCTACCTAACTTTGAGGTTGCTGCTATCAGAACCATAGCATGTATGTTTAGGGACTTATACTGTAGAAAATAGGATCGACATGTACAATTAGTGTCACTCAGTGTCAAACACAATGAACTTATCCTCTATCATTCCATCGGGGCGGTGGGGTAGCCTAGTGGTTAAAGCGTTGGCTCGTCACGCCGAAAACCCGTGTTCGAATCCCCACATGGGTACAATGTGTGAAGCCCATTTCTGGTGTCCCCCGCCGTGATGTTACTGGAATATTGCTAAACACCGCGTAAAACCAAACTCACTCAGTCAGTCAGTCCATGATTATGCTACCTAACTTTGAGATTGCTGCTGTCAGAACCATAGCATGTATGTTTAGGGACTTATAATGTAGAGAATAGCATCGACATGTACAATTAGTGTCACTCAGTGTCAAACACAATGAACTTATCCTCTATCATTCCATCGGGCCGTGGGGGTAGCCTAGTGGTTAAAGCGTTGGCTCGTCACGCCGAAGACCCGGGTTCGAATCCCCACATGGGTACAATGTGTGAAGCCCATTTCTGGTGTCCCCCGCCGTGATGTTGCTGGAATATTGCTAAAGGCGGCGTAAAACCAAACTCAGTCAGTCTATCATTCCATCACCAAGTTACGGTAATTGTAGCTTCGTTCTTACCACATGCCAATGTTTCAATATGACAAAACTGCTCTGTGTTACTGTATAACGACGACAATTCTTTGTGAACATGTTCAGCTTTGTATGTGGCATTTCACCACATAATCCAGGTGAGTTTGAGAGGATCTTTCCCGAGATGAACATTAAACTTTTGGCCGTGTGCCATTCCTGAAAATCTACTTGATGTTGTTCCCCCAGAGCACTTTGTATGGGATATATCAAGTGATCAATTTCAAACGACCTTTTGATAATGGTCAAACCATTACCAGAATGTTTCCATTCATTTACAAGCACCTGTGTTGATATCGATACTTGATATCGATTGGAAGGACAATCTAAGATTGTGATGCTGATGAAGTCTTTCAGTTAATTGCGCCTCTTGTTGTCAGTCTTGAGACAAATAAATATTTAATTGAAACATGAAATGGACATAGCTAAATTGCTAATGGTGTCCATTAGAAAGGAGAAGTCATTATCTGTTATGGGTCGCATTGCAAAGAGACTTGTACTGGTATTCTTTTGTTCGTGTTTCAAAGCAGCAAGTCCGCTGAAGCAGTCCATACAAGTTAGTGGCAGAGTCACATTACATTTCAGCGGGTGTGACTAACTATAGAAACCCTATCCTTTCCTAAAATTGTCCACAAACATACAGATGCAGATGAAATTATCAGGTGAGAAAATATAAAACGTCATTGCCAAACAATACGCGGTCTTGACTATCCTCAGATTGACTGATTGTTGTTTTACGCCGCACTCAGCAATATTCCAGCTATACGGCGGCGGTCTGTAGATAATCCAGTCTGGACCGCGATGTTGACACGAAATATCTTTCAAAACGCTGGAATCAACGTCATGGACTGGCCATCGAGGTCCCCTGACCTTAATCCAATAGAGCACGTTTGGGATGCACTTGGGAGAAGGCTTCGTGGTCTTAGGAACCAGCCTCAGAATTTGCAGGAACTTGGCGCTGCCTTGCAAGAGCAATGGCGCAGAATCCCCAACCACGTGTTCACAAGCATCAGGCAGTCGATGAGGAGACGGTGTTTTGCAGTGGTGAATGCGCGGGGCGGCCATACACGATATTGAACTGAGAAATTTCGCATTTTCATTCTTGTGACTTGACATTCTATATACCCATGTTTTGGAACGGCGGTGTAGCCTAATGGAACTGATTATGGCACTGTCAGTGTATCGAGTACATCACACAGATCTCAGCAATGAAATAATAACAATTTAACCATCTTACCATCTCTTGTTCTTTTATAGTGCCCTGACGAAAGAATGTGAAGTTTCTTTTTCGACTCAGTATATATTCCCTCGACCTTTGGCTAATATATACTTCATGTCAAAAGTTTAGACTCACTAGTGTAAATATAGCCACTTACTTCAGGCAACAGTATTCCATACTGTTTAAAGGTACTGTTTACACATGAACTGATGTATTGTAAAACAAATTCGTAACGTTGAAAAGATTACTGTCATGAGTTTCAATAAATGATAAAAATCAGTGAAAATTGGCGAATTCTAAACAAGATTTTACACCAAAACGCAGCTGTTCACATGCACGATATTTGCACATGCTTTTCAGCAATTTGATGCATGATCCACGTGCAATTCATCAGCATAAGGTTTGCAGTTGGTTCCCCCAAGTTAGGGGAGAAATTCACCGTCTCAACATGGACTGATTAAGTCCTTTGGTTCGACCATGTGTAATTCTGGCCCATTCCTATTGTAATGCCTGCGACAGTTCATCTAATGTCTGGGGCGCCGGTTGACGTTCACGTATGTTGTGACCTTAAATTTAGAATGGGCTTAAGTGTAGAATAATCATGAATATTCATCAGTGGGCGGAGCTTATGTGCTACGTCACATACACGGCCTAGTATCTCTCCATCTACTGATGAATAATCATGATTATTCTACACTTAAGCCCATTCTACATTTAAGGTCACAACACACGTATGCGTCAGCAGAGGTCATGCCACAAATGCGTCATGGGGTTGAGGTCGACCAATTTGGAAGGCCATGGAAGCACTGTGATGCTTTCATCCTGAAGATACTGAATAGTGGCATGTGCTCTGTGAGGCCTGGCAGTATCTTGCTGGATACCCGTGAAGATCCGGGTTAGAACTGATCTTCAGCAACCCATGCCTGTAGTAAGAGGGGGCTAACGGGATCGGGTGGTCAGGCTCGTTGACTTAGTTGACACGTCATCGCTTCCCGAATCGATGCTCATGCTGTTGATCACCGGCTTGTCTGGTGTAGACTTGATTGTTTACAGACTGCCGCGATATCACTGGAACATTGCTGAGTGTGGCGTTAGACAATAAACAAACAAACAAACCAATCAACCATCACTGCAGTCAGTGCAATCAGTCTGACTCAGAATTCACACGCGGTATTATTACCGGTAAATAAAAAACAAGGTTTGAATATAACAATGAACGTAATGCTGCAAAGCATGTCATGTTTGGATCCACTTGGTCTGCTTTTAAAATAAGCACCTGAAGGCATCCATGATCAGCCAAGCGAAAACAATCAGTTCGAACACGACACTGCTTGTGCATCATTGTTTCATTAAAGAAATCATATTTTCTTCAACTTTTGTCATTTATCTGACATAACATGCAAAATGCATATTTCGTAAGAGAACACGTTTTTTTCTTACTTTTCATTAAAATACTAGTTTATGGTTGTTAAGGAACGGGCATGCATTGTCCATGTGACCCGTTCAAGGTACCAATCTCCATGTAGCCCGCTGAAAAATCAATTGAAGGATTTCAGCTAACACTGACAATAATCGATCGACAAGATCACATCGACTGTGATTAATTGTCACCTGAATGTAAACTAGGATTTAATGTTAAATGTAAATAAGTAATTAAACAAAAATATAACGTCAGACCCCTGAGGCCACGAGGGTCGGTGGAGTAACCTAGAGGTTAAAGCGTCCGCTCGTCACCTTAAGACCCGGGTTCGATTCTCCACGTGGATACAATGTGGGAAGCCCATTTCTGGCGCAAACCCACCCACCCCCACCCCCCACCCCACGAATTGATTTTACTGGAATATTGCTAAAAGCGGCGTAAAACCATACTCACTCACTCTTTTAAAGAGTATGTACAACAGGTGAACTATATGTTACATGTACGAGAATGGGACGCGAAAATTAGTTCGAGGGACAAGAGTATTATATGGAGGGAATGTAACAAGCGAAGGTTGTTTCACAGTGAGGGAATTTACAAATGTATTTTACCAAGGCATATATATGATTTATATATGATTTTCATACTTTAAAGTGCTCCTTCGTTGTTATATAGTTCGACCATAACGTACTCATTCCATATATATAAATGCCCGCCATGATATTGCTGGAATAGTGCTAAAACTCCACTCGTTTACTTACTCTTTCTATATGATTGTCGTGTTATGGGTTTCGGACGCTTTGAAACATCAGCTGTTGTCCCGAATATCACATGAGCAAATTGTAAGACATGTCACCACTAACTCTTAACCACAAGCCGTCATCCGATTATTTACAATGTCTGTGTGACGTAATCCGCCTCATTAAGTAAACACTGCCGTCCGAAAACATGTGAAGTCCGAATATATGATCCGACAATGCAACTTCAAATAAATGTTACCGCAAATTACTTCACAAACTGAGTAATCAATATAACCTGAAAGGTTAAAAAATCTGTCGAATGTAGTGTTTCTATAACGTCCTCGGTTTGTACCTCGAACTAATTGGAACATTGCGCTCGAATACTCATGGGCAGGTAACTCTAATATTCTAACTCCACCGGAAATAATTTCTTTACAGGAAAATGACTGATCGCTGAGTCGGATTATCTGAAAATAACATCCTACGCGAACTGCAACAATTTCAACGTTACCATCCAGTGATGGCTGAAGGAGGCAGTACAAGTGTCACAGACGTGTCAGTGACAGAAACCATTACCCAGGAGTCGCCGGTAAGGGTATTTCTCTCTCACGAACATCAAATCACAAATTAGCCTGGACGCCGCCCGTTAAAAATACGGTCCATCGCACTGGCAGTGATGTGATTCATGTCCTTCATTGTGACACATTGATCTATTACGTTTTAAATGTCGCATCGTTGTTTAACATGGGCAGACTACGATGACACATGTTTGTCCTATATGTGTGTACTGGCATACCCGTTTTACTTTTACTCATTGTGAAAATGTGATTTCGTTTGCAATAAATGTTTATATTTTTAAGGCGTAGTTTATCAGGCGAGCGTCCATTTATGTACCTTTCATAAAGCATAATATTCATCATTGTTCATTGTCCCGCATCTTGACTGTTGAATAAATGTATTTTATAAAGCCAAAACCAACCGCTTTTTTGAAAAAGCAAATCTATCCAGCTCCATTCCACATCATCTCATCAGTATTAGGGCAAGACAATTAAATCTGGTGAAGTGTTTTGTGTTTCTAGAATATGTATCAGATATATGTCTCCCTAGCACCTCCTCAGTTCCACATAACTTGATTTGAACATCATGTACACTCATATCAAAACTAGATAATGGTAATGTATTGTTGGAGAATGATTTTTGGGGATGTCACACGTTTTTGGATGTTTCAAGGTGGGGTGGGTCACACAAATATTGCTAATAGTCGGATGATGGCTTGTGTTTAAGATAAAGTTGTCTTTAATAAGTTACTGGCGTGTTTTACAATTGTTCGTGTGAGAGACTCCAATGGATGTTCTTAAGTGTCTGAAAGCCTGTAACAGGATGATATGTTATATTTGGGAGTACACTTTCTCAGTACATTTACCAGGTGAGCACACAAAGTGTGTCATCTAGACTGATACTGATAGCAGTCAGACTTACATTTTTGTAAGTGAGTGAGTTTATTTTTACTCCGCTTTTAGCAATATTCCAGCAATATCACGGCGGGGGACAGCAGAAATGCTTTTAACACATTGTACCCATGTAGGGAATCAAACCCGCCCGTCTGCAGCGTGACGAGCAAACGCTTTGACTGCTAGGCTACCCCAGCGTCCCTATATTCTTGTGGGAGCTGCAGCTGCTGAGTAGATTTTTTGTTAGCTGATTGCTTTAATTTTTGTGTGTGCAGGCAATAAGGTTCATTATGAGTTCAAATCCCGGATGAGACTCAACACCAAAAAGTAAGAGTCTGTACTTCTCTGAGAAAGTGTAAACCCAAATATAACATGTTACATTTGATAAATTTCTAAATAAGCATTGTGTATTCATAATTAATGGTAGACATAGCTATGCTTTGTGTGTTTTTTTGGGTATACTGATGAAATATTAGTTCCATACTACCATACACCATGTAATAATCCCCATACTTTGATGTTCATGTGGTGTAATTAAGTGAGTGAGGTTAGTTTTACGCCACACTCAGCAATATTCCAGCTATATGGCAGCGGTCTGTAAATAATCGAGTCTGGACCAGACAATCCAGGGATCAACAGCATGAACATCGATCTACACAATTGGGATACGATGACATATGTCAACCAAGTCAGCGAGCTTGACCACCTGATCTCGTTAGTTGCCTCTCACCACAAGCATGGGTTACGGAAGATCAATTCTGGTGTAATTAACAGACAGACTCTTCCACCATGGACACTAATCTGTCAGTGAGATTTCAGGAAGAGACAAGTTGTCTTCTCATATCATGTTGTTTTACATTATACATAAATCAGCTGTCATTCTGCTTATTCATTATTGAGATTTTCCAATGACATGATGCTGTTGCATTCATTAGCGTATATGTCATTTTTTTTAAATATTGTTTTAGCTCAGAAAATATTGAGGTCTTCAGTATCTGTATCTATATTCCTGGAGTGTTTTTTCCTCTCTCTTTTGCAGATTACTTTAATCATGCTTCACTTAAGTTATATATATACAGAGGCTCAGATAAGCTGCGTATCCGGGTAAAATACGCATAGAAAATTTACAATTACGCATTGAAAAATAATTGTTGCGTACCAATTACGCATTTAAAATGTTAGATACGCAAAAAGTTTAAAACAAATGCATACAGAATATATTTATCGCTTGCGTAATGAAAAAGACATCGATTGCTATCAAGTTGCACTGTTAGTATAGGACAAGTGTTGTACTGTCAGTATAGGATGAGGGATTTTTTATGAAATCATTTCCATTATATTTAAGTTGGTTTTGATTAGGTATGACATGAGGCAGAACATACCTGCTTAGTAAACTTACTCAATGACATAATACTTAGTTGAGTAAAATGACTGAAATACGCACATATTTGAAAGCAGTGGGTAACGGAAAATGAAATACCCACTCAACATTCATAATACCCACTCCAAAAAAAAATACAGTGGGTACAGTACCCACATGAGCTAAATCTTATCTGGAGCTCTGTATGTATATAAATAGTGAATCTGCATTTGGCAATAAGAGGACAAAATCTGTTTCTCTTTATTTCCATGACCACTTCAGCATGTCAATGTGGTTCAGCAATATACACCTTGCTTTACACATGAGAAATACATGTGGTATACATGGTGGATCAGTGATCTAATCAAATGCTAATTCCCTTTACTGAGTTGCTTCCCTTGGGCATGCCAGAAATCATTTGTTCGAATGCTTGTATGTTTTTCGGTTTAGTCATATCCCAATTGCGTAGACTGATGCTCATGCTGTTGATCACTGGATTGTCTGGTCCAGACTTGACTCACTAAACTCACTCACAAACTAAACTCATTCACTCATTCTAGGTTTGTCAGCACCATAACCACCATTGCTTGTGGGTTTCCAGGGCTCGATTTAGTGCTTTGTTACTTGCACTGGTGCAACCCAATACTACAAAAGTGCAACCTAGTTATTAGCCTAACTTGCACCAGGTGCAAGTAAATGTTTGAGTGGGTAAACTTCTGAATAAAACATCTAAATAATCTAAACAATGCAATAGCATATCTCTTTCATTACATGTTGCAATAAAAACAGTGCAACTGGAATTTGGCTGGTACAACTAGGATTTTATCTTAGGTTGCACCTGGTGCAAGTAGGTTAACATCTCTTAAATCGAGCCCTGGTTTCACAAAAGTGGTAAACGACTAAGACATGCATCACAGTGATGATCACTTCGGGCTTGAAACCCACATGACACAGCTTGATATATATATTGTCTATATATTGTCTATATTACTGTCGACATGTTGAGAGTGACGTTAAACATGTTCAACTCAACTCTCTCACTCTTTCAGCCAAGTCCAGCGCTGAGATTAAAACTGAGGAAGCCAAAACCTGACAAGAAAGTAAAATGGACTTCAGAAACTGTTGACAATGAGGACATGGGCAAGAAGAAGTCCAAATGTAACTATGGATCATTGTTTCATTATACATCCTCACCCCTGGGGATACAGTGCAGAGTGTATATAGAATAGGTGACAAACGTGCTAAGACGTCTCTACATCATGCTTGTCATGCTATTAGAGGGCTCCAGATAATTTTTCAACATCAGGAGTACGTACTCCTTATTTGTTCAATATTGAGTACTGGAAAACCTTAAGTGTACATTTAGAGTACTGAATGGAATTTAATGAAGTATCAGTAACCTTGTGTTTCGTTTCATATATGCACCACAACATTGCTACTCTTGTGTAAACAGGTCAATGAACAATAAAACAATACTTTTTCAGATAAATACGTCTGTAAGTGATTCTAAAACCGTAAACCATTGCTGTGGTGCGTATCTGCTACGTTTTCTCAATTATTTCCTACCGTATCGTGCATATTTTTTATCCGTACATACACCGATATGGCCCTTATCTGGAGCCCAGCTATGAATTTTGATAACTTGGTTGTATATGTACCTAGGCAGATAAGTGCTGATTGTGTGTCACCCTGATCATGTGAATCTTTGCTCATACTATCAACCACTAGGCTCAGAGTTGGGTATTGGCATGATAGAATATTGCTTCTTGTCACAACAGTCATTATTCCTGTGAGCAAATGATTAACATAACATTAAATGTTAGACGTGATTAAGACTACATATGTTGATAAAGTTGGATTGGTTGTTGTTGTTTAACACCGCGACTCAGCAATATTCCAGCCATATGGTTTGATAGAGTTGGGAGATGACAGGGTAGAGAAGACAGATATGATCCCAATAATAGATATGCTGTTGTCTGACATTGAAAATATGATGGTAATGATTATGATCAACAACAACATCAATAACAATAATAATTATTACAATGCATATTTACTCTTCATCAGTTTCCTCACACTTAGACATGCTTTTGACACTAAATAATTGAGAAATACAATCTATACAAATGATCATTAGCATGATCATGATTTGAAGCCTGTAGGACGGGTAGGACTACACATTAGAACCATTTTGCTTTTGTTTATTTGTATTTGTAATCCTGGTAATTGTGATGATTACTCCCTTTGTTATGGGTGACCTGGTGGGCTGTGTACAGTTGTCTCCCTTATCCATACCAGGATTGTATGGTCATGGGTAGGGCTGCGCAATATAACCAGTTTACCGGTATTTACCAATTCAGACATGAAAACGATACGGATTGCGATACGCTGACCGAAAACCGATATTTTGACATGCATTCGGAAAACTTCGTAACACTCAGAAATCTTCGGATATTTCCGTTTTTTTAATCGTTCTTTTCCCTGTTTCATTAGTGCCAAATGTTACTTACATTTTTATTTTGTCATGATTAAAAGTTTTTATAAAAGGTTAATCAATCATAGTGATTTTGTTGTGTTTTTGCTTTATGAGCAAGCATTAACTCGATTATAAGTAGTTTTTGTTAAAAAAAATAATCCTTGCAATATATTGCAATACATATCGCAATATGTGCTTCCGCATCGCAATATATCGCAATATGAAAATTCTCTGCAATACCCACCCCTAGTCATGGGTGTATCTCAGTCTCTTGGTTGTTATTCTGGTGTGACTATCAACTAGTGGTGGTCCGATTAATTGAAATAATCGAAGATTGGTCGCAGTGACTAAACGACCAAGCAATCGATCATGTTTTCTCATAATCGAACACAAACAATTCTAGAACACTTGTTTTCATGAACAGTATTTTTCACATGGTTGGTTTTGTCTGTAACATTTCGTAAGCACTACAAGCTCGTTTCAAGTCATGATTGAATTTATCTTAAAGACTCTAAGAAATGTATGTTCCTCCATATTAGTCATCCTTTAAAGATGAAGCGTTGGCTCATCACGCCGAAGACCCGGGTTCGATTCCCCACATGGGCACAATGTGTTAAGCCCATTTCTGGTGTCCCCCCGCCGTGATATTGCTGGAATATTGCTAAAAGCGGCGTAAAACTAAACTCAGTCAGTCAGTCAGTCAGTCCTTTAAAGATGTGAAATTTTGCCCAAAACAACCCAAAGAACTACATGTTTTTTTCCTTTTTTTTTTGCATTAAAACATTTCATAAATGACGCTTACCAATTATTTTCGATGATTGATCGGTCGTAATGAACCAATCATCAATTATGAGATTTTAGCCAATTCCCAACACTACTATCAACAATTGTACTTTGTTTTGTTTCATTATTTTAATAAATAACACTTTTAGACTCATTTTTGTGCTACATTCATAAATGACCAGAGAAGATCTAGGGTAAAATTGGGTCTTCAGCAACCCATGCTTGTCGTAAGAGTCGACTAACGGGATCGGAAGGTCAGACTCGCTGACTTGGTTGACACATGTCATGGTATCCCAACTGCGTAGATTGATACTCAGGCTGTTGATCACTGGATTATGTGGTTCAGATTCAACTATTTACAGAATGCCACCATATAGATGGCATGGCGTTGAACAACAAACCAACATTCAGAAATATATGGGGCGGTGGGGTAACCTAATGGTTAAAGCGTTGGCTCGTCACGCTGAAGACCCGGGTTCGAATCCCCACATGGGCACAATGTGTGAAGCCCATTTCTGGTGTTCGCTGCCGGAATGTTGCTGGAATATTGCTAAAAGTGGCGTAAAACCAAACTCAGTCAGTCAGTCAGAAATATATTGTCCAGAAACAAGCAGTCACACAAACAAGTGACCCTCTCACGTAGTCATTTAAACACATAATCGGCGAAAAGTCTCAGTTACTATCATATTTTTATGCATCTGTGCTATACATTTGTGTGTATTGGATGTACATATCAACATCACATAAAATGAAAACTTGTTTTGTTTCTTCTAAAGTTGATCAAAGGTACATGATTCAGTAACACTTTGTCCACATTTTTTGCATAACAGGTAACAAACCCAGTAACCCTCTCCTAATGATATTTAGTCTCATGTGTTGTGATGTTTCCTCCAGGTTGTTGTGTCTATGAAAAGCCGAGATCGCTTTGGAGAATCATCATCAGAAGATGAAGGTGACGATGGATGCTCGCAGCATTGTCGAGGTCATAAAAAGAAGTGCTACCAGGCTCACGGTCCAGATGATCACCATGACGACGGGCCGGGTATGTATGGAGCTATGAGATATCAGCTAGTGTGAAGGAAAATTGGTTAAGTTTCAGAATACCTGACTGAACTAGTGTCATGGTATCAGCCATCGCGAACCCTGAGATCAGCCTCTATAAAACAAGCAGTAGTGCCCTCTACCCGCAGAGCGAGTTATGGCGATAGAGCTTTCGCCAAAGCAGGTCCTCTGTTTTGGAACCAACTACCTGAAAACTTGAAAAACTTGTCAGACTTCATTCCTTTTCGAAAAAGAACTTAAAACAGTTCTTTTCCACAGAGCATTCGACCAAGTGCCTTAGAGCAAACCTTGGATTCAGGCGCTATACAAATTTTAACATTATTATTATTATTATAAGTTTCACGATTGATCATTGTACTCCAGTGGCATGAGATGCTGCTAACAGTGACTCAGTTATTTACAGACTGTATGGTTTTACATCGCTTTTAGCACAATATTCCAGCAATATCACGGCAAGGGACGCCAGAAATAGGCTTCACACATCTACCCATGTGAGGAATCAAACCCGGGCGTTCGGCGTGATGAGCCAACACTTTTACCACAAAGTTACCCCACTGCCCCTCTATTGGCAAGTTGACCGCCTCCGTGGTGTAGTGGTTAGAGCGTCCGCCCAGAGAGCGGACGGTCGTAATTTGGTCCCCGACCGCGTCATACCGAAAGACGTTAAAATATGGTACTTGTTGGTCACTGCCTGGCGCTCGGCATTAATGGGTACAACAAGGACTGATCGGCTCGGGAGTCAGTATAATGTGTCTGAGTAGGGTATTCATGCTTCACTGCGGCATGGTATCTCAGTGGGCTAGCACTATAAAACCAGCTTAAGTCTGGGCTAGTACAAGCAGCCGCACATACACATACACACGCATGCACGTCGTCATATGAGCGAAATATTCTCAAGTACGACGTAAAACCCAATTTCACCTCACCTCACCTCTATTGGCAAGAGGTGACCAGGGATATTGAATCACTGACCTTTGCTCTCCTGGCAGGTGTTTTTTTATCCACTTGACAACTGAGGCGGCCCCAATGTGGGAATAGATGCTGCTGTTTTCTGAACTGGCACGGACTTACACCTTCTGAGTAGGGCTCCTTTGCACAAAGCTGTTGTAGCGATAAGTTGTTCATAAGTCCAATACTTTATTATAGACTTACAATTGTCATAGCTCTATCATTGCTTTGTGGAACGGGGCTTGTCTAGAAAAATCCTACATCTACTACCGTATATTACTGTAGGTAGGCTGATCTCATAGGTATACCGACCGCCTCCGTGGTGTAGTGGTTAGAGCGTCCGCCCGGGAGAGCGGAAGGTCACGGGTTCGATCCCCGACCTTGTCATACCAAAAGATGTTAATATATGGTACTTGTTGGTCCCTGCCTGGCGCTCAGCATTTATGGGTACAACAAGGACTGGTCGGCTCGGAGTCAGTATAATGTGTCTGAGTAGGGTATTCATGCTTCACTGTGGCATGGTATCTCAGTGGGCTAGCACTATAAAACCAGCTTCAGTCTGGGCTAGTACAAGCAGCCGCACATACACATACACACGCATGCATGTTGTCATATGAGCGAAATAAACTCAAGCACGACGTTAAACCCAATTTCACCTCGACTCACCTCATAGGTATACCCCCTAACTTGACCATTAAAATCAGTATCAAAATGGTATTTTGACCCCCCAACCTTCGCTCGTCTTTTCGTCATGATCAGTCATTGGAAATAGTGTCAACAAATCCATACTGAATTATTTTTATATCCTCCAATATTTATAACTTTGGTCAGCATTGTTCGCAACAATCACTATCATATTTTGTCAAAAAAATGTTTCATGAAACTTGTTGAAAGTGTATCCTGTAGATAATCCTGTGTGTATGCCCCCCTTCAACAGACTGGCCTTTTTTTGTCTTCAAAATTTGGCTTATCTACATAGAGGATATTATATGAGTGCCCATGTCAAACTATATTTACGACACGAGTGCCTAAATGTTGGTATTTCCCGAGCGGGAGCAAGGGATATACCGATATTTAGGCATGATAGTCGTAAACATAGTATGATATGGGCACAAATATAATATTCTGTTTATTACCGAAGTCGTCAAATTGAGAAAAATAAACCCAATCTACTTTCAAACATAGGCTGGCTACCCGCCTTCGCCGCATATAGAACGCAATCACAGAAGAAACGTGATGTCATAGCATTGTTCATGACGTCACGTCACCATGACAAAGTGATATTTTGTCCTAGGGCTTCGTATGAAAAATATGATCCCGATATTTTCGCCCTCATAGGTAATAAGGTAATATACTGTTTATCAGTTGACTGTGTGTGGTGATGGTTGGAGGGATTGTCATGGGGTATATGGATACACCTTGCACGTCTATATTTCTAACATTGGTTTTCTGTACCCCCAGGTCCAAGCACAGGTGGAGAGTCCAGCGGGGGACACGGAATGGCTGCCTCCAGTTAATGCTGTGTGCTGTATATAGGCTGTTAAGTTTTGTACATATATTGTAAATCTGTATATTCTGATTGTTGACGGGAAAGTAAAACTGTCCGCCTGCTGAATGTTTTTAAAGTTAAAAGCTTGCAGTGTCCATCTTGATACAGAAATTCATTATACAATGAGATGGCCAAGTCATCTGAGGCACCACGATTAGCTTCGCAGAGTTGTATCCCCTTGGCACGCCAGAATCCTATAGTTGTTTGAATCTCGGTTCACCAAGATGATGTTTCTATGTTTGACAGCACTAGCCCCAGGTTCATGGGATTCACCGATGTGGTAGATGTCCTAAGACCTACCTCATCTCTCACATCAAGATGACACACGCGCGCTATGATAAAACTGGAATACTGTTTGAAGATGTGTTACAACATTACCACATGATACGATACATGCTGGTTCACAACATAACGTACCATGGTACACTATACATCAGAAGTCATTACTGAATACAAAATCAGTTTGGATATGGTTTCATAGCCCTTTGTCCAGTCTAGCCGGGTGAGATGTGTCAGGTGAACAAACTCAACTGCTTTTGCTAAATCCAAGATCAACATCTGTATTGGGCATCATATCATGTACAAGATATTACAAGTAACTCATGAGTTGTTCCCCCTTGTTTACTGACCGTACCACTCCATTCGTAACTACTCGTCCCTTTCCGTAACCTGAAAGTAGACTCGTACCCCTCTCGTAGCCATTTTATTTAACGTGGCTCTGTCTAAGCGCAAAAGCGCAGAGAGAAAGAAATAGTCTTGTCGCCAAACTATTTTCAAGGACATGTAACTCTAGTTTACTTGGGAAACACACATGGCATCCATGCCAAGGAAATTACCTCAAAGGGTATGTTTAACATGCTTAAATACTTTCCTACGCCATAATGTTAAAATATCCTGGTTATAAAATTCAGGAAACCCAGGAGGACTATGGAATAATTAAAATATACTTGAATTGTCTGGGGAAAAATTATGCAAGCCGAAATGAAAAATATTTCAAAGACCTATTTAACCCAATTTCTTTTCTCTATACGCGCTTTCTGATTGGCTGGGGGGATATTTCTCCCAGACATGGCTACAAGAGGGGTACGAGTCTTCTTTCAGGTTACGGAAAGGGACGAGTAGTTACGAATGTGTACCACTCTAAGCTGTCCTGAATGCCATACCAGGTTATCCTTAACACTACTGATAACACTTCTGATAATGGACTGAAGTTTTGTTGATCTTCATCATTTTTATTGTGTGTTCTTTTCTTTTATATGATATTTCTTTTTCAAGCGATGAAAAGCTGCAATATTGCTGATGGAGTACAAAGCAGCATTTCCTAATTATTTGTAATATACTAACATCAGCATGTTAAATGAGGGTTGATGGCTGCTAACATAAGTCATAACTGGCTGCAGTTAGGAAAATAGAACATAAACATATGATTAGATCACCTGCACTTCATGTACTACCAGTGTTGCCTATGGGATACTAATCTGTTTATTTTGAGAGTCACGTTGTTATTGTTTGAATTTCAAAAACTTTTTAAAGATTTGATTATAAATTAAGCCCACAAAAAATGTGGTAACACCTTTTTCTGTCATACAGCTGAAATATTGCTGAGTGCAGGATGAAACATTGACACTATCTATCGGTGCATAATCAGTTTGTTGTAGTTTGCCTGTTTCCATATTGCCAAAGAAAGCTCAATATGGCTGAGATATTACCTATGTGATGTCAGATTTTAGTTCACTGACCCTTATAGAATTCGTAAATTTCATGGTCTGGTTTCAGGTAGAAATTAAATTTGAGGCCTGAGATCACATGAGTGTCATCTGTCACAAATCAAGTTGTCTGTGAGTGAGTGAGTTTATTTTTTATGCCGCTTTTAGCAATATTTCACCAATATCACGGCGGGGGACATCAGAAATGGGCATCACACTTTGTACCCATGTAGGGGAATTGAACCCGGGTCCTCGGTGTGACAAGCGAATGCTTTAACCACTAGGCTACCCCACCGCCCCTGTCTGTAGGAAAACATAACCTGTCCTATATTAATTATATTGCATTTTACGTTGAAACAAATTGCATATTCATATATCTTCATAAGTCACCGTGTTTATACCACTGCTTGAAGTCCCACACATATCATATCAGATTACATTCATCATGCAATTTGTTTTATTCCACACGTACCAGGTCAGGGTGGGATTTCATTATTTACAACCTGCACTGGTGCATGTTGACAATGGCTGGTGCAGGTTACCTTCTGTAACAGGTTGTACTCGGTGCAGGTAACAACAAATCTTCCAACATCTTATAGCTGTCAGCGTGTGTTTTAGTAGCAAAGTAAGTGACTGGAAGTAATATGTTTCTCTCCGCATGACATATTACAACATAAACATTTATGTACTCATAAATTAGTTAAGTAGCAGTAATCATAAAATGAGATTTATGAATAAAAGTAATGCAAAATTGAATCATTCATCATTTATCATCGTGAAGTCAGGTTCTGTTGAATGTATCTGATACTGAGTCATAAAAATTGCTAAACAAGTGTTTATGTTACTTTTTAGAACCAGTTACATTATTTTATGGTGTAACCAAAATGTTGATGGTGTAGCCAAACCTATAAGCCATGTTACACTCGGTGCAGGTACTGAAAAACCCCAAATCACACCCTGTAGGTATGTATTATGTGGGTGTTTACTTTTAATTACATACAGTATTTAAACAAAATGATCTGACCGTGTAAAGGTCAAATACTAAGGTATATATTTGTCTTTGTTGTTTGTTTATCTCCGAAAAGGCCTACTGTATTTCGGCAGCCAGTTTGTAAACATGGCCGTCTTTTTGTCTGTGGCATTAAACACATTTGTATTCAATGCAAGAATGTATCATCACGTAACATTTACTTTTCAACTTTTTGTTTGAATTCAAGGCTGAAAGGGTAAATGATACATGGATATATATATAGATATATATATTTCTATGGGTGGCAAATTATGTTTTTGGAAAAGTGTGTTTTAGTTGTGAGATTAGTCATTAATACAGTTAGTTGCTGGAGTGGGGGTTTGTTTGCTGCAAAGTTTGCATAATCAAGTGATACATTGTGTGTCCTTAACTGCTTTGTGTGCCAGATTAAACTTCAGTGTTGTCAGTATTGCAGTGTCTTAACTAATCAGTAAAAGCTTCCAGAGAATCTGGAAAAGATGTGTATTGTACATGTTAATTGCTGATGTGACAAACACTGTAACTGCATGGAGAGGTCACTTTGCGTATTCATCACTATATCTACAAGATATACAATGAGAGTTGGTGTATACAAGCGCTTGTAGGTATTGATGTAACACTTGTCTGGTAAAGAAAAATGTTCTGTGCACAGGGGTTCGAATCACTGTTTGGTCAATAATTTGTAAAAATATTAATCTATCGCTACCTTGCCGACACTTTGTGTATTCTATACAATAGTGTAGCTGTAAAAATTTCTAAAATGTTTATTTCTTCACCTATTTCGTTCAATTTGAAATATATGTTAATCATAACATGAAAAACAATATGTGATTGGAAAAGTCTAGATTTTTATTTTTTAAGAATCAATTGTCCAAACAGTGAATGAACCCCTGTGGTTCTATGACATAACTGATAACTGGTTCACTGAGATAGCATCAAAGAGTACATGGACATTGTTTGACACAGCCAAAAACTCGTCAAAAAGGCTTTCGATGGACAAATATTTATTTACCTGAAACTGTTTGGATGGTGAATATGTATTTACATATCAATACCTGTATTATTGGAAAGACTGCTTGTTGTATGCTGTGTTGTCATTTGGTATATTATTGAAATGAAGGTATTCATGCTACACCGAGTTAATGTTGTTTTTTCTACAAGACCATGATTGATATCTGGTGTCTGCTGTCAGATATTGGGTCAAACAGATAAACTACGGTAATAGAACATACCCTGGTGTGGGATCTGGGATGTCGGATTCAGTCATGTGTCTGACGAATAAATCACTATTCATTTCTGCAAGTCGTTAATGGTACTTGTGACGAGAACTTTGGGTCCCGAAGACATATAGCATTTACTTTCCCATTTTTGATTTGCAAGCGGAACAACAGTTTGTATTTTGTCAGCATGTTGTCCCGATGGACTATTGCTCAACACACCGAGATTCTCAGGTCATCAGGTCTCAGGTGGAGGTTGGCATGACTTCCTTTCAACGTCGTTATCAACGAAGTGCAGAGTTAATATGGACAACATGGCACGTGACCAAAGATGATTAACATATGTCTTAAAACATAGCACCCGATGATTGACGTCCATTGGCAGCACGTTGCCATCGGGCTTGAGATGAGTGAGTGAGTTTAGTTTTACGCCGCACTCAGCAATATTGCAACTATATGGCGGTGGTCTGTAAATATTCGAGTCTGGACCAGACAATCCAGTGATCAACAGCATGAACATTGATCTACACAACTGGGATGAGATGACGACGTGTGTCAACCAAGTCGGTGAGCCTGGCCACCCCATCCCGTTAGTCTTAGTCGCCTCTTATGACAAGCATGGGTTGCTGAAAACTCTAACCCGGATCTTTATGGATGGGGCTTGAGATGAGCTGTCCATAGAGGATTTATGATCGTCTGACTCCAGTCAACTGATGAAAATTAGTACCAGTTTGTGTCGCCGTTTGAGCTGGGATCAGACGATCCAGCACTCCTGTAGTTGATGGGGGGACGCCATGAATGGGGTCAGTCGTCTTCATCTTTGCTTTGTTGGTATCTGTTCTACATAATAATAATAATAATCTACTTCTATAGCGCCGAGTTCCAGCTAGGCTGCTCACAGGCTCTTGTGCAGTTCAGTCTATTTCATTTCAAATAGATGTGTCTTTAAATGTTTTCGAAAAGTTTGTAGACTTGGGGCGGATTTTAGCGACATAGGGAGGTTGTTCCATAGCATGGGAGCTGCACATTCAAAGCAGCGGTCCCCATATTTGGTCCTGGGTGGTCTGGTGATAAGCAGATCTTTATCTTGTGATCTAAGAGTTCTTGTTGGTCTATGGTTGTTTAGAAGAGATGACAAGTAAGATGGAGCAGTGTTGGTCTTCAGGCACTTGTACATAATGGTAAGCACCTTGAATTTTATGTGTCTGGCAACAGGTAGCCAATGCAGTTCTCTTAACCTGGGGGTGATGTGGTCTCTTCCAGGACAACGAGTTATTATCCTGGCGGCTGTGTTTTGTATGACCTGGAGTCGATGAACCAGGGAAGCTGTTATCCCAAACAAAAGTGAATTGGCATAGTCAAGGCGAGATATGACTGTTGCTTGAGTGAGAGTTTTGGCGGTTTCATCTGAAAGATATCGTCTTAGTTTACCAATCTGATGAAAATGATAGTGAGAAGACTGGCACATTTGGGTGACCTGCTTGTCAAAAACAACTCCTAGATTCTTCACTTGGGAAGAGACAGGCACATTCACAGGTCCAATATTGACTGAGAATTCTGTCATACGTTCCTGTAAGTGCTTTGGCCCAGCAATGAATACTTCCGTTTTGTTGTCATTTAGTTTGAGAAAGTTAATTCTCATCCAATTGTAGCACGGGTTTTTGTGTCATGTTTTACAGACAAATCCATTCTTGAATAGGAAATTTGTCAGCTTCACTTTTCTTTGTTTTCAAACTTGATATTAACATTTATAGTTCCCGGTTAGAATTGATCCACAGCAATCCATCCTTGTCGTAAGAGGCCATAAACGGGATCGGGTGGTCAGGCTCACTGACTTGGTTGACACATGTCATCGTATCCCAGTTGCGTAGGTCGATGCTCATGATGTTGATAACTGGATTGTCTGATCCAGACTCGATTATTTACTGCTTATTGGTTATTGTGAGATTTTCCAATGATATGACGACGCTGTTGCATTCATTAGCGTATTTAGCATTTTTCAAAATATCCTTTTAGCTCAGGAGGAAATTATTGGCCCATTTCCGGTATCCCCAGCCGTGATATTGCTGGAATATTGCTAAATGCGGCGTGAAAACCATACTCACTCAGGAAATACTGAGGTCTTCTAGTAGCTGTATCTATATACTTGATCTAATTCCTTTTAGTGAGTCGCTTCCCTTGGGCGTGCTAGAAATCTCTCATCATTGGTTTGAATGCTTGTTTGCTCAAAGTATGTTTCTAGGTTTGTCGTATCCCCATTGCATAGATTGATGTTTGTGTTCTTGATCACTGGATTGTCTGGTCCAGACGATTAGTTCCAGACCGCCGCATGTAGCTGGAATATTGCTTCAGGAGTGCGACGTAAAACTAAACACTCGAGCAGTGCCATGATCTACCTTTTATCGTCCAACTATGTACATGTACAGAATAATCTGTAGTGAGGGAGAGAGTTAATTTGACTGAACGCTGCTTTTAACAGTTATTTCATTTACATGACAGTGATTCGCTTTGTGAGTCCGGAAAGCACGAAATAATGCAGATATTTGACGTTAACACCATTGTTGAAACCAACGAGAAAAAAGAATGGTGCTGACAGTTTTAAAAATAAATACCTAAGGCAAAATGGGTTTCCGCTTCAGTTTCTTGGTTTGCTGTGCCTCGAAACCAGTGTTGAGGTTAGATATGAACTGAGAAACAAAGTACATTGTGTACACACTTGAAAACTGGATTTGACCAACATATTGTAAACTTTATAAGTCTGAAAATAGTTGTCATGATACTGCAAACTTTAAATTTAAAATAAAACTACGATCGGTATCAAATACATTACCCTCGAATAGTGAGTTAGTAGTTTTACGCAGCACTCAGCCATATTCCAGCTATATGGCGGCGGTCTGTAAATAATCGATTCTGGAACAGACAATCCAGTGATCAACAGCATGAGCATCAATCTACACAACTGGGATATGATGACATGTGTCAACCAAGTCAGTGAGCCTGACTACTGATCCCGTTAGTCGCCTCTTACGACAAGCATGGGTTACTGAAGATCAATTGTAACCGGGATGCTCATGGGTATTACCACCGGATACATATTTGTTTCATGGGTATTGTTTACCCGGCAGTTCATTATGCAGGAAACTCCATTACGTTATGTCAAAGTATGCCTTGAGCAACAAACTGGTCTGCAGTTTCAGTTTTAACTTCCTTTTACTTCATTTATCTCGAAAAACCAAGAGCATTGACAGGACATTCATATAACAGAAGGAAATCGGGCCGCCATCACTGTGAACAAGCTGTGTGATAATGGAGAAGATTATCCGCAAGATAAAAGCTGGATTCAGTTATAGACCAGGGTAAGTGAATGTTACTGATTATTCACATACAGCCAAAATTTAACATCAGACTTGTTAACATTGGTAAAGCAATTTGTCAGTATAGATATTTACACATAGATATTTTCCGTTTGGTCACAATACGGTAGCAATGGGACGATACATTCTCTCTCAGGCAAGATGTGCCGTAAAGCGAGATTACATATATCTTAGTGAGTGAGTGAGTTTTTACGCCACTTTTGGTAATGTTCCAGCAATATCATGGCGGGGGACACCAGAAATTGGTTTTACACATGGTATCCATATGGGGAATCGAACCCGGGTCTTCGGCGCGACGAACGAATACTTTAACCACCAGACTACCCCCCTTCCATTTGTCCCAACCTTTCTATAGTGGGATATAATGACACAATAACATACAATGTGGTGTAAGATTGCTGTGCGGTAAATAATAATAATAATACGGTAGATTTGTTATGCACCAAAACTCCAGGCGCTTGGTGTCTGCTCATGGCGCTACACAAAATTAAAATACACTGCAGTAGAGGTGCTATATTTTCACTGTTATATCAATCTTTATAGACCTTTTGGAAGTGATGTCTTTGTGCAGCTTTTACAGATTGTCAATGATTGGGATTTCTTTATTCCCAAGGGAAGATCGTTCCACAGAGTCGGGGCCATGTGAGCAAATGATCTCTGTCCATACTTTTTGAGGCAGGTTTTGGGTACTTTTAGAAGTAACTGATCAGCAGATCTTAGTGTCCGAGAAGGTTCATATTTCTCAATCAAGTCTCAGATAGGCAGGAGCAGATTGATTGACACACTGATATGTCAGGGTGAGAATCTTGTATTGGACTCGAGCTTGGACTGGAAGCCAGTGTAGGGAAGTTAGCACTGGTGTTATATGTGCACACTTTCTCGTCTTTTGGACCCGTTGGAGTTTCACAAACTGTTCCTGGGTTAGATTTCCCAACAAGCTATTTGCATAATCAAGTCTTGTCAATACAAGTGTTCTTGCTACCATATGTGCCATATCAGTAGAGAGAAGATCTCTAATGTAACCGATATTCCTTGAAAATAGCAAGAGTGACAGATTTTAGATATGTGATCATCCATTGATAGATTGTTGTCGAAAACCACACCAAGATTCTAGTCACATTCCGAAACTGTAATATCAGAGTCTCCTACTCGAACAATCTTCACACCAGCAGTCAACCGTTCAGGCAGAGTTCCTGCAAGAAGAGCCTCCGTGTTGCTGTCATTTAGTTTCAGCTTGTGCATAGTCATCCAGGACTTGCTGCTATCAGTGCACACTTCCAGTTCAGTCACTGAGTGACATGCATTTTGGAGGTAGAAAACTTTAAGTAACTGTGTATCATCTGCGTACATATGATGATTTACACTTGAGGTTGAAAGAGATTTGCCCAGATCAAAAGTATACAGTGTGAATAGGATGGGCCCAAGGACAGATCCTTGAGGAACACCATACTTTAAGATGGCAGTTTCAGAATTTGAGTTACCGATACAAACTGACTGGACTCGACCAGAAAGGTATGACATATACCATTTCAGTACAGTTCCTTCAATACCTATTGGCTCCCTTCAGTGTTGCTGATAGTTGTTCATGATCGATGGTATCAAATGCCGCCGAGAGATCTAACAATACCAACACACCCACCATCCACAGATGTCAACAAATCATTCATAATGCGAAGCAGCGCTGTTTCAGTACTGTGTTCTGGCCTATATGCAGACGGATTCGTATCCAGTAAGCCAAATCTGTCAAGATGTAAGGAGAGTCTACAATTCACAGCCTTTTCAAGCACTTTAGAAAGGAATGATAGGTTAGACACAGGGGTGTGTCTCACTTAGAAACAGCGTTAGAAAGACATATAGGTGTATAGAACCTACCCACCCTAACGCTGTTTCTATGCGTGACACGCCCCTGTGTTGTATGACCCTAGGGTAGGTTCTATATACCTATATATACCTATATGTCTTTCTAACGCAGTTTCTAAGCGTGACACGCCCCTGTGAGGTTAGACACAGGTCGGTAGTTACTGAGGATCGACACGTCTAAGTCCTGTTTCTTTTGACCACTCTTCGAGATTAACAGGAACTATTCCTGTTGATAGACTCCTATTGACAATCCTTGTGATCACTGGAAGAAGGACACCAAAGTATTCAAGTAGAATCTTTGTCGGCATCGTTGACGGTTTTGATGTTTGAGAGAATATTCAGGGAATACGAAACTTAACCTCCCTTTATAAAATGGTTTTGTTGCGGTTGCGTTTAGTGATGTTAGGTGCGGTTAAGTACGTTTAAATGTTTGTAAAACTTGTTATACTCTTAACGTCCTGGTCGTTGTCTATTGTACAATATAACACTGGAGGGGAAACAAACCACAGGGGCGGCGTGGGTTTTCCTGTATCGATACCTGACCAGATTGTGACGTCACGGGAGATAACGAACAAGATATGAATATTATCAGCAGGCAGTCACTACTTGTTTCTTATACTGTGGTACCCGTGAAGATCCGGGTTAAACTGGTCTTCAGTAACCCATGCTTGTCGTAAGAGGCAACTAACGGGATCGGGTGATCAGGCTCACATAACACATGTCATCGTATCCCAGTTGCGTAGATCGATGCTGTTGATCACTGGATTGTCTGGACCAGACTCGATTATTTACAGACCGCCGCCATATAGCTGGAATATTGCTGAGTGCGGCGTTAAACAACAAACAAACAAACATAAATCCTATACAATGTGAAACCACATGCTGCCCTGTTGTCTTAGGCGCCGCTATTGATTTTACGGAGTTGCTTCCCTTGTTGCATGCCAGGAACCCATGGCTGTATACGCGCCCACATTTTGTTTCTAGTTTAGTAAGCACTATACCCCAGATAGCATTCAGACGTTGGCCCAACGTTGGCAATGGTTTTGCCAACATTGCCAACGTTGGGCCAACGTCCGAATGCTATCTGGGACTCATTCTCATGGGTTTTTCAAAAGTGATATATGTATGAGAAACTGCATCATTCTGGGATTGTCTCCCATATCAAGACATATCCGAAATACGTATACAAGCGACGTTAAACCCAAACTACTCTTACGTGTCTGTAGAAATACTTCCTTCATTATGTACTTTGAGTTGTGATACTGCAAATATGACTGACACATATCGCGTGAAATATCACTTAACACCGGAACTACTTTCAGAATAGATAAGAGGCGACTGACGGGATCGGGTGGTAAAGCTCGCTGACTGGGTTGACACATGTCATCGTATCCCAATTGGCTAGATCGATGCTCATGCTGCTGATCACTGGATTGTCTGGTCCAGACTCGATTATTTACAGACCTCCGCCATATAGCTGGAATATTGCTGAGTGCGGCCGAAAACTAAACTCAATCATTCCGGAATGCAGTAACGTCATATGATGTCATTTCTAGCAGAATGTGGAGCAAAACAACTGAATCTAAAACGAATTAACATTCATCACAAGTGATGCACAATTGATGGGACGTCACTCGGAATGGCTATTTAAATTTCATCAAGAATTTTATTTATGCCTAGATAAATATTCAGATTTTCAGGATCTAATCCCTATCAACAACGTATACAAACCAATCATATGCAGAAGAATCCGTTTTACAATCCCATCTTAGGCTGTGTATTGGCAAATAAATTGTATTGCAATTTATTGTCATTCAGGTATCCGTATTTCAATATGGCGATATATGGAAAGTTAATTTGTTTGAAAGTTTGAAAGGCCCTAAAATATTTTCCTTTAAAAACAAATCCATTTTGCGAGCATACCACTTGCCAATGCATATGAGAAAAAGTCATACATACATACATACATACATACATACATACATACATACATACATAGGCGGTTGCACACACACACACACATACATACACATACACACAATGTGTGACACATACATACATACATACATACATACATACATACATACAGACATACATACATACATACATACAGATGAAACATGTCGAAAGGAATGGAATAAATGATCACATTTTCCCTTAATTTCTCTTCATCATCTGTTTCCTCCTTGGCTTCATCATTTGCATTTTATCAATCTTGTAAATCCAATATCCCCTACTATTTTTTAATGGTATAAAAATAAAATAAAATATACCCAGTATAATGGTTCTCAGATATTTTTTAACATTGTAATATGTATGGTTGAAAAGCGTATTGCGGTGCAAAGCCGGACAGTCCTACCCATTTAACAAGGTGTTTGTACTGGTTGTATTTATTTCACAATGATATCACTTTTTATCATACTCCATATCCACAGGAAACTCTCATATTTACTCATTGAGTTCAGGTCATGGACAATATGGGGAACAACACGATTAACATGTCAGTTTGAATGCCTGTGAAAGCCACAGCTAGATGCACCATGAACCAATTCCAGACCATCTGTATAGGTCACCAACAATTTCAAACACTGATTACAAATAACAAAATACATTTTATCTGACATATTTATTTTAGCAGCCCTCCTGTGAGAATGAGGAATAATCACAAATAAATACATGCTTAAAACAATGCTGCAACTAGACAGATGGCAAGCATGGAAACAATATCACAGAATATGTCAATCAATTGTTGATAGTACTGACTACATAGCCTGTATCATTGGCCCAATTCAGGTCAATCATTGGCCCAAGTTGGGTCAATCATTAATCAATGTCAGGGTAATCACTGGCCCAAGTCAGGGCCAATCATTGGCCCAAGTCAGGGTCAATCACTGGCCCAAAACAGGTCAATCATAGGCCCAAAACAGGGTCAATCACTGGCCCAAGTCAGGGTCAATCACTGGCCCAAGTCAGGGTCAATCATTCACACCAAGAGTCACAAATTTTCTTTCCTTAATAATATGAAACTCAACATAATCAGCGCCCAGCGATGTAACAAAGTCAAGCTTGGCCTTCCACATGGGAATACAATTAAAGGATTGGCTAAAATTAATTACTTGACT